GATACGATACGATACGATACGATACAAAACGATACGATACAAAACGATACGATATGATACAACACGCCTCCATTAATCCCACAGTGGGAAGATTTGCAGATTTGAGGTGTAGTACATAACAATGCACGAATAAACAAATGAAACAAGTGATTCAACTGCAGCTGATAAACTGTCTGAGGTGAAGAAAAGTCCACAGGTTGACCTGCTGGTAGATCCTGATGCATCCTGACTACATGCTGCAGATAATTCATAGTTATTAATGTTGTTGTTTCACATGCATAAATGCACCTATTCTCTCTCTTTCTTTGGAGAAGTTCTTATGAATACTAATGCTGCAGGTATTTAATAAACTCAGAGGAAAGACTCCTGCAAACAGCTGGAGGTGCGTCACTTGTCTGTTAATGAGACTGACGTGTTGAAAGTGATAAATAATTGTTATTGGGTGCAAATTAGTAAGACTGAATAGTTAGCAGAGTTCATATTCAGACACAAACATGTTTAGATGCTGTTAGATTAACAAAAAGGAGGGTTCAAAGTTGATCAACAAGTCATAGACAAGATTTTTAGGATCTAATCTTTGTAATACTAGATGATAAAGTACATGTTTTTACCCCATTATCAACTAAAAGTATTAACATTAACTAATCCAAGAAAGTAAAAAACTATTTGCTTGCATGAAGTGTTGACAGCTTGTACACAGATGCATTTCTGAGCCTTTGAATAGCTTACATACACATTTCTGACCACTTGAGGGCAGCACAACAAGCTGTGAACTCATCACTGACCTTCAGCATCAGTTTATGAAATTGTTGCAGTCAGTGCGTTTGCTGACAGTTTACAAATCCAGAAGATACAAACCAACATAATTATTAAAAAAAAAAAAAAAAAAAATCCAAAGCAGTCTTCTGACAAGAAGTGAAGAAGCCTTTATTCAGATGATGAAATTCTAAAAACATGGACCATGCATGTGAACATCAGCCAGCCTTCTTTACTCATGGTTTGTGTCCTAGCTTTATTTTTACATGCACTGATATTGTCTATGCTTTTAGAATTTCACTTTATACAACATTTGAATAAATACTTTTTAACTTTTGCCAGGAAAGTCTGACTTTTCAGTATCGTGAAGGTGGTTCTATTTTAACCTGCTACATCACCATGGTAACTGATGCTGCACAGCTTACCTGTTCTGGAGGAGGTTCGGATTTAAATCGGCTGTAAGAAGCATCTCACTTTTACAAATTCTTCTCCTGATGATATTTGCTACAGGCAGAACAGATTCTCAGTTGAGGTTATATGTTATATCTGCATCTGTTTAGCTGTACGTTAGCAATCCCATTGAATGAAGTCCTGCACTTACAGCACGTAAACTGTCATAGACCAACACGTATTCAGTTAGTTCAGTCATTTATGTTGGTCCTGATTTGTTGTCCAGCCCGTTTTACACTCCTGTGACAGCAGCTAATAGAACACAGTTACAAAGTTGATTAGTCTTGTAGTATGTATTCAATCAGCCACGGCAATTTCATTTTAATTAACCAAAAAAACTAAAGGATGTCCTTCATTATAAAACAATGTCGAACCTAAATGCACGTCATGGGTGTCATTTTACATAAATGAACATTAACTAAACAGCTCTAA